ACCCACACCACGACCTCCACCTCCTCCACATATACACCCTGAAACATAATCATCATCATGACACACACAATTTCAACAGACGCAGACAGTACAACGCACTCATGCCGTTCAATCCACTAAACAAGGGCACAGCTCGGACGGACTTGAGAGCCGCACATCAAAAACCAAACACGGCAACAATAGCCACCATGACAGATATAAACCTCAAGTCAGTGATTGAGTGTGAGAGAGATCAGGGACCTGAATATCCAGAAGAACCTGCGACGGAGATTCCACAACCTTGCATGAGGCAGCATGGGGGATTGAATAGTTGTGTGGCTTTATGATAAAGGTCTGTGAGCTATTTAGAGGAAGGTTCAGCCCCTCCCCTAGCTCACAGAATAAGTTGTGACTTATGTGACTTGTCACTGCCCAAGTGCTCCACAGGGAGGATTCATCCCCAATTTGGGGTTTCTCACAACTTGAGGAAAACTCTATGGAGAACCTAGATCTGGCCCCCACCTCCACCCCAAAGCCAACCATCAGGCCAAAAAACCACATCTCTGCCCTCAGGAAATTAGTGGATCGGTATGTGACCGTGACCAGAAAATGGGTAGTGTTAGGTGATTTGACTGCGGCGAGGTTCCCGACCAACTCAGACCAAGACCTCTAAATTGATAGCTAACTTTCACCATGCCCAAGGAATACTTTCCAAAGCAATCATTGACAACCAAGTGGAGAAGGTGGTGTTGGCATTTGGGATAAATTGTAGGGCACAAAGAGCAAAAGAAACTGCTATTAAACAACTACAGTCAGCAGTGAGGGAAGCAAAGAAACAGTTCCTGCATTTGGAAATTTGGATCCCCCTTATCAATTATTCCAACCTTTCGCCCACGGAGGAGCAGAACACTCTGCAGTTAATTAAGGGTCGTATCAGATGAAATATGCCGTACATCCCCCGAATTTCCTAGGGATCTTTTCCATACAAAGGCAGACATGATCCATTGGACATGTGAAACTGTTAAGGCCATGTTGAAACATTGGAGCTTGTTTTTAGGCTTGAGCCTAAAATAAAGGGTCACAGCCCTTGGTTTTTAAAAAATGTGGTGATTTTGGCCACACATTTTAAGCTTTCTGCAGCCTAGGAGTCTATTACAAAAAGGTTTGACGTTCATACCTACTATAGATCTATATATAAAAATAAAAAACATTTGATATTCAAAATTTCTTTATAAATGTAATATTTTAAAAACACAACAAAATGGGAGTCCAAATCTTTTACAGCAGCCTCAACTTGGCAACCACCACCCAGTTCTTCACCCCCACAGATGCACAGACTGGTGGGACAAGACACAACTGATTTTAAAAACATGTATAGACCATGTAGAGAAAAACACAATTTTAAACAGGAAGAAGTGAAAGCACTTCTGGAATTAATGCACAAACCATTGAACCGTTATTAAGCCTGCAGACGAAGGGAGCACAATTGTTATATTAAGCAGAGATCAATATATTTTTGAAGTGACTTGACAACTTCAATGATCAAATTCATTACAAAAACTTAGGCATACCAATATTGACACAATCAATCCCAACAGTGAAACAAATTGTAGACCGATTACATAGGACAAAATTCATTAATGCCAAACATAGGACATACATTATAGGTCAGTCTGAACCGAGATGTCGTCGATTCTACATTCTTCCTAAAATACATAAAGATCCCGGGACCTGGATGGTTCCGTGGGAGATTCCCACAGGACGGCCAATTGTGTCCGATTGTGGAAGAGAAACGTATGCCACAGCGGAATATATTGATCACTATTTGTACCCTCTGTTTATTAAACATCCAGGGTATATCAAGGCCACGCATCACTTCATTGAATTGAATAAAGATCTGTCTGTTCTATTGGAATCATTGTTCTTCACGATAGATGTGGAGAGTCTTTATACAAATATTGACATTCCAGCAGGTTTAGCAACAGTGAGGAGATTTTTCCAAAAATTCCCAGACAGGAAGAGACCAGACAAAGAAATATTAAAACTATTGGAAATAAATTTGAAATGTAAAGATTTCAAATTTATTTGGGGAGTGCTATTTACAAATTAAGGGGACAGCGATGGAGGAAAGATTTGCTCCATCATATGCCAATATATTTATGGCAGACTGGGAGAAATAGGCATTGGCCAAATGCCCGATCAAGTCTTTGCACTATCTCCGGTATCCGGATGACAAGACACTTAGAGGACTTCGTACAGATTCTGAACACACATGACCCATCCATCAAATTGATACGGAAAACAGCATTGATTTTTTTGGACACTACAATTTTCAAAGGTAGGGACTTTCCATCTACAAAAAAATTGAACATAAAGATTTTCTTTAAAAACACGGACACACACGCACTACTCTATTAGACTAGCTCTCACCCAAAACATACAGTGGGGCAAAAAAGTATTTAGTCAGCCACCGATTGTGCAAGTTCCCCCACTTAAAATGATGACAGAGGTCAGTAATTTGCACCAGAGGTACACTTCAACTGTGAGAGACAGAATGTGAAAGAAAAATCCATGAATTCACATGGTAGGATTTGTAAAGAATTTATTCGTAAATCAGGGTGGAAAATAAGTATTTGGTCACCTCAAACAAGGAAAACCTCTGGCTCTCACAGACCTGTAACGTCTTCTGTAAGAAGCTTTTCTGTCCCCCACTCGTTACCTGTATGAATGGCACCTGTTTGAACTCATCATCTGTATAAAAGACACCTGTCCACAGCCTCAAACAGTCAGACTCCAAACTCCGCCATGGCCAAGACCAAAGAGCTTTCGAAGGACACCAGGAAAAGTATTGTAGACCTGCACCAGACTGGGAAGAGTGAATCTACAATAGGCAAGCAGCTTGGTGGGAGCAATCATCAGAAAATGGAAGACATACAAGACCACTGATAATCTCCCTCAATCTGGGGCTCCACGCAAGATCTCATCCCGTGGGGTCAAAATGATCATGAGAACGGTGAGCAAAGATCCCAGAACCACACGGGGGGACCTGGTGAATGACCTGCAGAGAGCTGGGACCAAAGTAACAAAGGTCACCATCAGTAACACACTACAACGGCAGGGAATCAAATCCCGCAGTGCCAGACGTGTTCCGCTGCTGAAGCCAGTGCATGTCCAGGCCCATCTGAAGTTTGCCAGAGAGCACATGGATGATACAGCAGAGGATTGGGAGAATGTCATGTGGTCAGATGAAACCAAAGTAGAACTTTTTGGTATAAACTCAACTCGTCGTGTTTGGAGGAAGAAGAATACTGAGTTGCATCCCAAGAACACCATACCTACTGTGAAGCATGGGGGTGGAAACATCATGCTATGGGGCTGTTTTTCTGCCAGGGGGACAGGACGACTGATCCGTGTTAAGGACAGAATGAATGGGGCCATGTATCGTGAGATTTTGAGCCAAAACCTCCTTCCATCAGTGAGAACTTTGAAGATGAAACGAGGCTGGGTCTTCCAACATGACAATGATCCAAAACACACCACCCGGGCAACAAAGGAGTGGCTCCGTAAGAAGCATTTGAAAGTCCTGGAGTGGCCTAGCCAGTCTCCAGACCTCAACCCCATAGAAAATCTGTGGCGGGAGTTGAAAGTCCGTGTTGCTTGGCGACAGCCCCAAAACATCACTGCTCTCGAGAAGATCTGCATGGAGGAATGGGCCAAAATACCAGCTACTGTGTGTGCAAACCTGGTAAAGACCTATAGTAAACGTTTGACCTCTGTTATTGCCAACAAAGGTTATGTTACAAAGTATTGAGTTGTATTTTTGTTATTGACCAAATACTTATTTTCCACCCTGATTTACGAATAAATTCTTTACAAATCCTACCATGTGAATTCATGGATTTTTTTTTCACATTCTGTCTCTCACAGTTGAAGTGTACCTCTGGTGCAAATTACTGACCTCTGTCATCACTTTAAGTGGGGGAACTTGCACAATGTCAGATGATTTGATTCCGAAGGATATGTACCAGGGATTTTTCAGAGGCGGTCAAAGTTCTCTTTAAAGCACTCCAGGGAAGGGGATACTCCCGCACCTATTTGAGGAGATGTCGGAGAACATTCCAAGTGCCCAACCTGAGGACCAGAGGGACATTATCCCCTTGATATCTACATTTTCTACAGCTGGTTTAAGAATACAGAAACGATTAAAGACAAATTTCGAACAGATAATTGGGCAACAAGGGACAATTGGCAACCACAGTGTGATATCACCATAACAAAAATCTAAGGGATTATGTAGTGAGACTCAACCTGGCGCAATCAAATAAAATAAGATAGCTGTGTCCCAAAACGTTGGCTGCAACCTTCGGAGAAGACCTTCGCGGTCTACGTGGGCCGGGTCCTTCGAAGACCGAGAAGGCCGGAAGTACGAGGCTGTGACATGGGACGGTCTAGCCTTCAGATTTGCATCACCACTGTGTCGGTTTGATAAACTCGGCCGTTGGCTCCTTGCTATCTAAAATATAACAGGACACTGGCGTAAATTCTCAAACGTCTCACACTTTGACATTTATTCAGCTGTGTGAAAATCCCGGAGGAACCCACCCAATGGATTAATAAAGTTTTATTTAATCTAACAATCAAATAACTTTGATCTCAGCCAAACCGATTTACTCCGATTTTTCCTGGACTGGCTTTTTATAGCAGATAACCTTAAAATTATTCTGAGGTAGAACAAAAACTGAAGAAAACCATGAATCAACATATAAACATTACCTGAAGCTTACAGAGGTATAATAAGAGACACAGCTAAGCAATTTTGCATAATTTTAAATGGTATAAAAAACAGCAGAAATGAGACTTTCTTGTCAGAAGTCAGTTAAATAAAAAAATCAAAAATTGTGGTGGAAGTGAAACAGCAAAACAAAGAGGGAATTCATGACGATGTTTATGTGAAGCGTCGTTTGGATCTTCTTTTGCTGCTGGTTAAATCGGTTTTGGTTGGAGAGTGATGAAACCTGCACCTTCAGAGTCTGACGCATCAGAATCAGTGAGCTGTCAGCTTTCAGCCCCGACGGCGTGTCCATGCACGTGCTGTTGGTTGCGAAAGACGACATCTCACGGATTTTGATGCGTCGGTGGGTCCGCGCTTTGTGTTCACGTCTTTGTGCAGAATCCATGTAGCTACTCCCATTTACTATTTTATCTGTTTGGTGGTTTGGTGAGATTTAACCTGAGATTCTAGCATTTTGGGCAAAATTAATTTATATTTAAAACTATTCAGGATTTTAATGAATCGATATCGCGTTATTTAAGCTAGAATCAATTTTAATCGGAAAATCGATAACCAAAACGCACCCCTAATTACAGACATTGTTTCTTAAAAATACAATTTGTGTAGGTAAATGCATACACAGACACACACACACTAAAATTTCAGGCAGTATGGGGTTAACTTGCTGTTTTAGTAACACCAAATAGAAAACATGAAATACAAACCTTAACTTTCAGGGCAGAACTGATTCCAGCCTCACTCTGTTTCAGACCTTTGAGTAGAGCACATCTCAATTGAGAGTTACACAGCAGCCACATTCCCGAGGTTTTCCTTTCTTTGTGGACTTTCGTCTGAGGAAAGGCCAGACCTTGGAAAGGCCAGACCTTGGCCGAAACGTTATGGCTAGTGATGTGTCGGTCGCGAACGAAATAGCTATTAGAGCCAGGTCTTTGACGTGAACGACGCGAGCCGGCTCCTTATCGTGATCCGTGGGGTTTTTTTTCTGTCTCTCACTCTCTTTCGCACTTTGCTTCTGCTTCATTTTGCACACGAGCCTTGTGCTTTATGCTGGGCAGAGGGTGGAGGAGCGGTAGTTACACTCACAGTAGCACAGGAACAGAGCAGGATGGAGAGAGAGAGAGAGAGAAAGAGAGCCAGGGACAACAATGTCACATTAGAAAGGTATAGTAATTATCCACAACTATTTTCAGTTGCAGATGATAAAGGATTCAGAAAGTTTATTCATGCAGGTCCATATGACAGAGGATATGCATGTTCTTTTTGTTTTCATATTTTAATTTATATTTAATTGTGTTGTGGTTTGCAGTGGTTTGTGTTGTTTCTCTTTAAATTTGTTTAAAAGGAAAAAGCTGAAAATTTAAATAGTTAAAAGTTGAAATGTGAATTGTTGATTTTTGTATTATATGATTTATTTATTACATTTTATGTGGAGTGAATAAATATATTTACGGTGGCCCCTACAGACAAAGCACGTACAAACGTACGAACTCTAAAGCACGTACAAACCCTTAAACACGTACAAACTCCAAAACACGTAAAAACTCAGAAGCACGTAAAAACTCAAAACACATAAAAAACACAACAGAAGTGCTCCAGGATGCTGGGCGCAGTGTTGAGCTTTTGTTAC